TTTGCCAGATATAGAATCGCCACCTAAATATTTTATTTTGGGAAATTTAGAAAACCCTAGCTCGTTGTCTAAGGCCACGTGTCCTTCATCACCAAAGTTGCCTCGGCTCGGGAACTTGAGTACGATTGGGGAAGATCACTTCGTGAGCACCCCCGCTCGCCCGATAAAAAATCGACCTCTACTAACCATGATATCTAGTTTTGAAAACATTATGCATTCTTATTCCGGTTATTAGCCTAGATTTACTATGCGATGCACACAGTATACAAGTATAGACTGGATTACCTGAATTGAAACAAAACATTTCATGTTTGTTTATTTTGAAAATGGTTTGATAGTGCTACCCGCAAATAGGCTAAAATGTGGATTTGCCACCCTGAGGTGGGCTTAGAAAACAAGATGATTCGCCACTCTCAAGTGGGCTTAAAACTCACAATTGATGAATTGTTCCAATCCAAATAACTCAACCTTCGCCCACAAGCATTCAGGCAGATATATCACATAAGCACATAACCTCATGATAAGCATGCTATCATGGCAGTCACTCACACGCATGCAAGGATGCTAAAGCATAAGTACTTACCGAGTACTCCAAGCCAAAACAGAAGCTATGTTAGAAATCCATGCATGATCCTAACTATACAGAAATGCCTAATGCAACACATGCAAAAATGCAACTATAATAGGCTCGACTATTCTAAAATGACATATGAAATGCTACATCTAGCAAGTATTCAACTCGGAATTAAGATACAAATGCAGTTAGTATGATACGCCGAGCCCGGTGTATGCAAAACAGATGAATGATGCAAACATGCAAACATAAGTATGCTAATTGAAACATGCCCTAATCTAACCATCATAAGGTGGTAAATAAAAAGGAGAAAGACGTGGGGTTGAAAGACATACATCACACGCACGCACACTTATTATAATTGTGCCCTCGCTCGGAGGATCCGAATAAATAATACAGTCCAAATAAGTACAAAACCCTAATTAATTAACAATTTAACTAGGAAAGCAAGTAAATTAGCATGCAAATCCATGGACTGCCTCAGCTCTGTTTCGAATGATGAAAGATGAATGCTCGAGTTGCCTTAGGCGAAAATCCATTGCGATGTCCCGATTCGTCTCTGTTTGCAATTAATGCCAGAATGCTGTGCAAGGCTTTAGAAAGCTGCTGATTTCTAATTTGCTGCAACAGAGAGCAAGAAAGAGGCACAGCAAAGCATTTTCACATATGTATGCATGACTACTCTTCAGGGAGTTTGAGTTATTCATATCAATTCACTTCAATAAATTTCATTTTTTAATATTAAGATTTTATTAAATCACATCACGCCAATTTATAAAAAATATATATTTGTATAGAATTATTTCAAAACTAACCATAAAATAATCAAATATAAACGGTATGTTTGGTAACGTTTACGTTTTCAGTTTATATTTACAAAAATTTTATAAACTGATTTTTGTTTATTTTTTGTTTATTTTTAGAAAAACATAAACTACAAACGCGTTTGGTAATTGACAAAGGGCTTGTTTGGTTTGATTTTGGGAGATGAGTTTGGGAGATAAAAAGTACGAAAAGTTGTTTGGTTTGGTTTTTTTGGAAAGATGTTTTGGAAAATTATTTTGAGAGAGAGTTTTGGAAAAAGTGATTGATTTGATGTGTATGAGAGAGAGATTTGTTTGGAAAACTTGTTTGGTTTACAAGTTTTGGGAAATTTTTTTGAGAAAATTTGTTTGGTTTGAGTTTTTCTGAAAACTCATTTGTAGAGAAATTTTCCCAAAAATTTTTGGGAAATTCAAACCAAACGAACCCACACAATGCGACTAACATACAACCTAACATATGCAATGCTATAAAATGGCATACACAATGCTCGATGTAACATGGCATACACAATGCTCTAATCATGCAACTCAGCATACACAATGCTATGGACCGAAATGACATACACAATGCATGATAAACTTACACCAACATGAGTGGACCTCAGCCACACTCACATCAGTGGCCATGAGATGAAAATGAGACAACCGAAATGCGTACACACATGCGCAAATACCAAGGACCAAACCTAAGGCATCAAATGCTACCCTACCAAAACATGGCAACGGATGAAAGATGGCATGGAATAGCATAAATTACAGCTCTGAAACAGCATGAAATATGGTCCCGAAACATGCAAATATGACACACAATACAAGCTAAGAGGCCCGAGTACCGAAACTAGTGAGGTGCGTTACACTAAAGGTACCCAAAGCAATGCACCAAAGGCAAAACCAACCCCAAACAGACCCTAGGCAGGTCTGAAACAGTGAAAAATTTGCCTAAAATGATGGCTTAACAAGCATGAAAATGAAGCTCATTCAATGGTCAGTAAACAAGGCATTCAAGCCCGACTCTCAAGCACACTTAAAGAGATGAAAACATGGCAACATGACATTCGTATAAGCTCTGAAATTTGATGAAAAATGACTCCAAGGCATGAAAATACCTCAATATATGCATAGAATGGATCTCAAAACTCAAAGCTAAGTATGAACCTTGAACTACAAGCATGCAAAACTAACATCATTCAACCACAAGACCCAAAAACAGAGCTAGGGCAGTCCAAAATAAACACATTATCAGTTTAAGACATGGCCAAAATGTGCTAAAATCAAGGTCCAACAAAGTCTGTAAAGAAAGCTAGTAAACCATGAGTTGTTCTACGACTATATGAAGCATACGAAAGCTCATTAAACCAGCCAAAAACAAATGTATGTCATGCCAAAATATAACCAAATAACCACTGAAACTCAGTCAATGCATGCAAAAATGATGAGCTCCTTTGGAAGGCCATGCAAGGGGTTACTCTACACCTATATGATGGACACATAAAAGGTCAAAACCACCTCTGGAAATGAGTTATGACAACCTTAAAACTAACCAAATAGGCCCTAGAATTGGTCTAGAAAGCATGCAATGAAAGGTCCTTTTGAAAGGCCTTGGATAGGATTGCTTTACACATGCATCATAGATATAAAATATGGCAAAATGAGCTTCGAACAGAGCCAATGCAAACCATAAAACTCACAAAATAAGTCCTGGAATGTAACTTCATAACATGCAAAATGGGACTCCTTTGGAAGGCCAACAAAGCTAGCAAAGAGAATGAGGGGTGAGAGGGCCACCCCTCTATGATTTTGGAGCTCATAGACACATCAAAACCACTAAAAATCCACTGGATTTCAGTGACTAAGAGGCCAAAACAAGACCAATGCAAATACTCAAATGCATGGCTCAAAATATGAGGAAATGAAGCATGCAAGGAAGAAGATGACTCCAAACAGAAAAGTGACCTTAATCAAATTTAAAGAGGAGGTCAAAACAAGACTTTCTTCAGTTTAGGTCGAAGTCCAAAAATGCTCACAAATAGGACTAAGATAGGAAGCAAAATAATGCAAAAATGAAGGAAATAGAGACTCACCCTTGTAGACAATGACTCCAGCAGCTTCTGGACCAAGATGGTGAGCCTTCAACCTCTGGAAATCAGCTCCAAGATGCTTGAATGGATGGTGGAGGTGGGTAGGCTATGAGGTGTAGTACAAATGGTGCAAGAATATTAGGGTTTGGAGCTTTGGAGAAGAAGGCTATGGAGGGTGGAGTGTATATCCCTTGGATAAATTTTCTAACCCTTACAAATGGAGGGAGAGTGTTGGTTTTATAGAGGAAGAAGGCCAAGGCTTCTTGGAGAAGCCTTAAGAGAGGGTCAAAACTTCTCAAAGAAACTTAACCAAAGGGATCAAGCTTCTTCAGAAAGCTAGACCAAAAGAGTCAAGTTTCTTCTTGGTCTAGCTTCCTCAAGAAGCTTAACAAAAGAGTCAAGCTTCTCTAAGAAGCTAAGCAAAAGGGTCAAAACCAACTTAAAAGGACCAAAAAAATGGTCAAAACCCCGGAGGAAACGTTAAGTGCTTTACAGCTGGCACAGTTGTGTTACACTCAAAAAGAGCAAAAAACAGAAAACAGGCCGACCAGCTTAGGTGGTCGGCCGACCACTCACCCTGGTCGGCCGACCAGGGGTCAAAAGGTTCAAGGAGAAATGATGGCCGGCCACCCCAGAAAGGTGGCCTCCCAGATGAGTGCAACACAGCTGTATGGTGGAAAACCAGAAAATGTGACCTAAGAGAGAAAAACCAGCTTTTTAGCAAAGCTCAAAAGGGTCAAGAAGAATTACTGGTCGGCCTACCCATATTGGTGGCCTCCCAGATGAGCACAACACAATGGGGGTATGAAAAGCCAAAAATTGTGGCTCAAAAGTGAAAAAAACAAACTTTCTGTCAGAAAAACCGACTTTAGGAGAGAGAAAAAAAGAAAACTGGTTTCCAAGGGGAAAAGGTGGCCTCCCACCATACTACCACCTCCCTAACAATGAAAATAAGGTCTCTACCAAAAATGGACCAAGACGGATGCAAAACGAAGGTTCGGGGGCCAAAACGCACAGTCTGGGACCCCAAAAACAGGCTGTTAGGCACCGGAAGTGGCGTGTGACCACGAAGGTGGTCTCCCGGGCCACAATGTCCCTCTAAAAGGAGGAAACAAGGTGCATGCCAAAAACCGAAGCAAACGGAGGTAGTTAAGCGGGTCCCGAACCGAGGCACACGGCCGACGACTTCGAAAATCGGAAACTGGACTCCAAACGGGAAAAAAAAATGGCCTACGACCACTAAACGTAGCCTATGGCCACTAAGAGATGGTCTACGAGACCTCTCCCTCCCTTCGGGAAGAGAAAACAGAGAAAACAGGACCTAATTCGCAAACCGAGGCAAAACACAAAAGAGCCCCGTAGTCCCAAAGCGAGGCTCGCAGCCGAGACTCCGCAACCTCAGAACGAGCACAATATGCAACATTACCGAGCGCTCAGTTGGTGACGTCTGAGTCTTAAAGTCGGTCAAAAATGGGGTGTCTACAGTCATATATTTCATAAATGAAAATTAAATATTCAAAAGTATATACAAAGGAATTAAATAAAAAAAAATTAATTGTGCTTACATATATTAAAAAATGAAAAACCTTAAAAAACTAAGTTCTTTAATTCTTAGACCATATTTTGTATCTCTCCAAGAAATTTCTAGCCTGAAAAATAAAAATACAAATTAATCCAGAAACCGCTGATGCATATGAATAAACTAAAAAGTTAATTCAACAAACCAAAATGGGAGCATTAATCATTTCTGCTTGATCTTAATCCTTTTGGAAATAACTTCCCTGTTAACAATTAGATGCCATAGCAACTCAGTGTCAATGACATTGTAATTAGAAGGTTAGTAATGAGCACAGTATTTAAAAATGATAAAATCTCAATACAGTTTGTGTATGATTTTTTGTGAATGTATATTATTATTACTGTTGAACCATAATTCTAGGTACTCATAAATAAATAACTAAAAACAAACTCAAGAATTTACTCTCTCTTTTACATACATTGCAGTCACTATTACCAGCAACAACAGGTTTTGGAGAAGCAGAGGCTGCATTTTCTTTTGCACCTTTGGAAGAAGAAGAGAAAACAGCTACCCATTTCATGCATGTCTGTCTACCAAAGAATAAGTGCAAACACTAACAACTGGCACAAGCGTATGAAAAATCATAAAGAAAATACATTATTATCTCAAAATACCTGGCCAAGCATTGTAGCCTCTGCTTCAATTCCTCCAACTCCCCAGCCAACATCTCCTAAGCCAGCAATCCAAGTAACAGCTCCTCAGAGAACGTGAACTGAGACACGCATTCTTAAGAATTACATGGATTTTGAAATGCAGCATGGTATATCCTTCATAAAGTTTAAATAAGAATTGGATGATCTCTATTATAAATGTTAACAACTAAATTCTACAGTACAAGTCATACACTGTGTGAAGATAGTATAAATTCTGAAAGGGTACTGACCACCATAAAGTTTTGAGTTAAAATTAATTGTTCCTTCCAGATACATAAAAATTAACTCACCTTGAAAAACTACTAATTACATCAAGACAACTCCGGTCCAAACCATAATAATCCAACAAGAAGCTTCTTTTGAACATGTTTCGCATGTTTTCAACATTTCAAATATAAGCAGCATTGTAGCTCTTATGTTTCAACAGAAAATAATTCCTGGATTATATTTTTCTAAAAAACTATAAATATATTAGGTCAGACTAATTAAGATAATAAAGTAATATAAATAATGGAATAAAACTATAGAGTGTATTCAATCAACTTTAGGACTGTTTTATGCCTAAAATTTACTTCAGTAGTCTCAAGAAAGATTTATCAATTTTTTTTCTAAATAAAAATGAAAAGGCCTAGTCACTTCTCAATTTATGGAAAACACAATTATGGTGTCAGGTCAGTTCTTTTACCCAGAGTTTCTTTATCCATATTTTTCATATAAAGAAGCTAGGAACAAATGGTAGAACCCAATCGAGACTTAACAAGCCTTGTGTTTGTATCATTAAAATCAATCTACAAAAAAGTAATAACAATTCAAAAAGAATAGGCAAGAAATGTAAGAAGTGTACCTAGAACCTTTTTACTGCGTAAAATATCTCCATATATGTGATCCCCAACATAAAGAACCTATTAAATTTACAACATATTAAAAATTAAAACCATACTGTGACCTTCTGGATTTAGAACCATAATCACATTAAAACCTAGAACAAGTAAAAATTAATTAAATGGAATAATGAATGAAAGACAAATTAAATTCCTATCTAATGAGGAAATGTAGCAGTTAATGAACATATCTTAATGAGAAATGAATAAGTAATAACTAATGAAATGAAATAATGAGTAACTAATAAGTAGTCAATGAACACATCTTAATGGAAAATGTAACAGTCAAAGTGATGGCTTCTTGATAATGTCCAGAAACCATTTGAAAAACGAGGGAAAAAAAATATAATCAACATGTTAACAAAATGCACCAGACACAGATACTAAAGGCAAAAATGCACCAGATTAGCAGATTAACATACTGCTGACTTGTTAGCAAAAATGCACCAGATTAACAGAACAACAGTAGGCACCAGAGCAGCAGTATGAAGCACAGATATACCAGATTAGCAGGAGCACCAGACCAAACACTAATGTAACAGTAGATACACCAATGTAACCATCACACAGATACAGAGGCACCAGATTAGCAGATTAACATACTGCTGACTTGTTAGCAAAAATACACCAGATTAACAGAGCAGTAGAGCAGCATACAAAGGCACCAGATTAACAGAACAGCAGTAAGCACCAAAGCAGTAGTATGCAGCACAGATGCACCAAAGCAGTAGTATGCAGCACAGATATACCAGATTAGATACACTAATGTAATGGCATATCAGGACACATATACAACAGAACAGAGCACAGGTACACCAGAGCAGCTCACAGATACAGAGGCAAAACACACTTAACAGCAGAACAGACCTGTGAACTTGACTCTATACCCAGCAGTTTATGCAGATGACCAACATTGCCCTCCTGAAAATGTAAGTTCAGAAATATGACTAGCATATAAAATTATTATTCGAGAACCAAGTGAAATTTAGCAACATAGAGAAAATGCCCATAACCAAAAGCATGCAATACAATGTCCAGGAATTTTACAAGGTAGATTTATAATAGAAATAACTTATTACCTGAAACACTTTACAACTCTTATTCAGGCTCTTTAATGGTAGTCTTAAAGCACCTCCCACCTAGGCAATAGAAGATGAAATTGTAAAAACACAGAACAAAACAAGATAAGGATGCTATAAACTTTAGAAGAACATAGTACATGTAAACCAACCTGAGGCATAGGAGTACCATTATCAGTATTAAGAAGCATCCGAGACGCAGGCTCAACTTCAAAAAGATTGGCACGATTTTCATCATGGAAAAAACTTTGTTTTGCACTGTAAAAAAGAACAAATGCTTCCTTAGATATAACTTCAAATTTTAAAGTTCGGTAGTCCTAAAATTAGGAAAGCACATTAAAACTAGCATCCAACTTGGCAATTGGTCCTACCCATCATACCTGTCAATACTCTGATAGGAATGACTCACTTTTCACCTAGTTTTTGGCATATATCTATATAACTTCTCATGAGAAAAAAGGATTTAAACCCATTTTAGAACTCATTACCATAGGTTGAAACAATACACTCTTCATAGCTCTAAGGCATCCAACTCATACGTTAAGTGTGAACTATATAAATAAAGAAATAAAAATGAGAACAACCCCAGCAATTCTACCTATAGAATGTAAGTTTTAACAGGTTTTATTATTTTGAGAAGAGAACAAAACCTGCCAATGATGACCACATTGAAGAATCGGAGCCACTCAAAATTCAAAGTGGAACAACTATCCAATGTTTGGGGTCCACAGAAAAAATTCATTACGATGTTTGTGTAGTCCCATAGACTGTAACATATATAAGTGAGATTCTTAATCATGTCAGTTCTTGCAAAAAACATAGCCTACTTCTAAAAACTAATACCTTCAAGTTTAATACAAACATAACAATTTTAGGAGAAGAGGGGGGAGGAGGTAAGATCACACAAACAAAATCAACCTATATAGTGGAATAAAAAGCAAAATAAGATTCTCAAATCCATATGTATATTCAGCATCAAAAAAAATCATTTCAAATAAAAAACCAAACAAAAGGCTAAATATTCATTGGATCGGTTTTTCAGACAAAAGGCTAACAATTTTAAAAAATAAAAAACAGATTATGAAAACAAACCAAACATAACGAAATAAATTTGTATATGACAAAAAACCTCAAACAACATATCACCAAAATTTATTATTAATATATACATTTTTTAAATTAATAGATGCAGGTCACAAAAGTCAAGCTTGGAGACAAAATCACAGCCCTCCAACAAATTGTGTCGCCATTTGAAAAGGTTATAAACATAAAAAACACTTAGACTTGTCCAATAATACTCTGTGTTATTTCATTAAGCTTTTTTGTTATTATTACTTATTTTTAATTTTGATATTGATATTCATTAGTATATTAATTAATACTATTTGACGTGGGCAATATTCAGTGGAACGGTTTTTCAGACGAATACGGCATCGGTGCTGGGGAGGCAATTGGATATATAAAGTTCCTACAAGAGTAAGTGCAGGTGAAAGCAATTTCTATATTATCTTCCTTAATCATAAAAAATTAATATTAAGGCAAATGTAGACCATTATTTAATAATAATAGTCACTGAATAAAATCACCTAAGCAAAATAAAATCAACCCATTAGCCCCTAATTGGTGCCTTGGGCATATTTTTGCATACCGGTAATGATACAGTTTATGTATGGATCGTTCTTATACATACCTACGTACATGATTGCACACATACAAGTAGAAAGCTTAGTGCTAAGGAGTTGAGAGGAGAAGATCATATAGAATTATAACTATCCAAGAAAAATAAAAGGCTCAATATCTTACTACTACTCAACAAGTGTTGTTACGGAGCATCATGAATCAACTGGAGAGGATACATGTAAGTAGGTATGTATAAGAATGATGATGAGGATGATGATGAAGAAAGTGGAGATTCGTGGTAGGTTTTGAAGGTTGGGAACCAGTCTTAGGGTTGATTTTGTGTGTTAGGGCTGAGAGTTGGGGCTTTTGATTATTATCTTCTCTTTTTTTCTTTTTTCTTCTTTTTTTTTTTTTTTTGAATTGGCGCCAGAAAATTTCATTTTGGCACTAAATCCATTACTCTCTATTTTCCATCTTTTGATTTCTTTTTCTGTATAAATTGTGGATATTAAGTTCCCAAAGATCTGAGCTTCCTGAATCCTTGTTTACCTGTTGCACACAGAAGACAGCCCCCAAGGGCATACCAACCCTTAGTTGAGTTCCTCTTGAAAAAGTAATAGATGTGAACAGGATTAAATGCCTTCAAGACACTGCTGTCATATTTTATAAGGTTGTAGATGCCAATAACCCCAAGAGAACAAAACCATATGAATAAAGCTGGTCCAACTGCAAGACCAACTTTGCTTGTCCCATACCAAAACCATATGAACAAAGGTAAATAAGAGATTACAGTGAACAAAGCCATATGAACAAAACCATTGTCTTCTGCAAGATCTCTCTCATGCTTATAGTTTCTATTAAAGTCTTTAGTTCTATTTATTTGTTATCCCGATAACAGATCTTGCAGAAGACTGCAAAAGTCAAAACTAAAGTGTGACTAAGGAACAAAAAAACCATAAGCATCTCATTTAAGATGATGCATCAAATCGCACATTTGATAAAACAAAGGTAAATAAGAGATTACAGTGAATTTGTCCATTGTACATAGTCACAAAACTGCAGCCACTTGTCATTATCATATCAATATTTTAGCAATTCATTTGGTCTCAAAAGTACATATCATATATATACATATATATATTTAACAGATGAAGCTTACCTTCCTAGAGAATTATCTCCATTTCCCTGAAGCTTCCTTAGTCACTGTCTCTAAAATATACTCAATTTGTCACTGTTCTGAATTGGAAATTCCTCAAACACCTCTCATCTGAAATAAAAGAGAAAACACTATGCTTCTCTAGTAATGGCTTAATGAAAAACAAAGATCAAAACAATCCCAATTTGTTCTTTTAAATTGAATCAATACAAGGAAAGAAAATGTATACTAAAGGGTTAATTCAATTTTCAATAACAAGTGAAGAGTTTCACTATTGCTTCGGCACGCATAACCTACTTTGGTTTGTCTGTTAGGGACACAAGAGATCTGAGAACACCCGGACTGATCTTGTCAGCAAGAATACCTTTTTCTGACATCAAGGACTTTTCCTTCACATAACTTTGTAGTTTCTTTGCATCTAGGTCAATTTGTGCTTGATCTGCATTAAATCATGGACAATATTTAAGCACCCAGGATTCAAGAACTAGAAAGACAATAACGTATTTGGAGAATAATGGAAAATAAGCTATTAGTGTATGATATGTCATTCAAAAGCTGAAGCACGTAACAACGGCATTATTCGACTTCAATGTCAAAGCTGGTAAAAAGTAATTAATTAGTTTAAGTATCTAGAGAATGCCTTAGAAATTACTTGGAACCCCAAAGACATTAGCATTTGCAACCTGCTAATGCCGAAATAGATGTTTCTGATGGTGATCATCTGCTAGCCATTATTTTTGTTTCTGAACACTATTTTTGTTTTTTCATGTTTTTTAAACAAAACGAGAAAAATTCGAAACATTTTCATTTTGTGTTCTATGTTTTCATTTTCTAGAAAAGGCAAAATTTGTTCGGCTAACTGTTTTCGAATACCGTTTTTAGAAAGGAAAAAAATCCAAAAACAAACCCTTTTATAAAAAAACTCAAAAGCTTTTTTCGAATATTCAAAATTGGATTTTGCACAACAATGAAATAGTGAGTGTTTTTGAACATTTCGTTGATTTGTTTTTGAAAACATGAAAATAACAGAAACACAACCAGCCATGCCAGAAGTGTATGGTATTGACGCAAAATGAATTTGGTCAACACATCTCATTTTCTATGCATTTTTTCTAAGTACGTAGCATTGTTGATTCATGTTTTAATTCTGATTGATTACAAGATGACAATGAAGGAATTTGCAAAGAAACTAGAAGAACTAGCAGAGCAGCTTTTAGACTTGTTATGTGAGAATCTAGGGATAGAGAAAGGGTACCTCAAGAAGGCTTTCTATGGCTCCAAGGGTTCAACCTTCGGCACCAAGGTCAGCAACTACCCTCCGTGTCCCCACCCGGAGCTGATCAAGGGCCTCCGAGCCCACACTGACGCTGGTGGCATCATCCTCCTCTTCCAAGATGACAAGGTCAGCAGACTCCAACTGCTCAAGGATGGCAAATGAGTTGTTTATCTACGGTTTTAAAAACAAAAGTGCCCCCACTAAAGTTTGAAAATATCATTTTTTTCCCATAGTTTTTTTTTTTTCATTAATTTATCCCCACTAAAAGTCCAAATATTATTTCTATCGATAGTTTCAAACTTATTTTTGATTTGCCAGTATGAAATTTTGTTCTTGCTCCCCCAGAATTTCCATATTGGCCACATATATTTGGGATTTTCTTCATTTAAGATAATGAATATGAGATTGTCAAATAGGAAAAAGTTATGTGTATAACTTTGCCTCTCTCAACAAAAATTCTCGCTCAGCCACCCTAAAGCAAGTGATTGTTTCCTATCTCAAATGATACCTACCCATTAGGTGGTTTTTATGTGAATCAATCTTGTTGTTGAACAGTTATGAATGCCAAATACCCACATTGAAAGTGTACTGATAAACCAGTAAAATGTCCCAAAAAATCCAGAAATTGTATACACAGCGAATACAGAAAGTAGTGATAAAGATAACATACAGTAGGCACAGCACTGCCAACACAAGCAATGGAAGCTGCCTTCACTCCTGCTCGAACACCCTCTGCAAATTCCAGAAACACCATTCAATAGCAACCCATGATCTATAAAAAATAATAGCATTGGTCAAACTAAACCCATGAACCATACATAATTTCCGGTTTTCTCATCAACAAAACACTCAAAAACTAGTCAGAAACAAACCTTGAGTGCAACGGCGTGAATTCAGAACCTTCTGATCCTCAGCCGGTGAAGCAATCAAAGGCGAATTTCTTCGGTTTGCCCAAGCGTCCCTCATCGTCGATGGAATTCCCATTTCGGTCTCGGATTTTTGAAGCTCTGTTTCGATTAAATTGAATAGAATAAGCGTCGAAATCTGAGAGGATTAGAGAGAGGTTGAAGGGGATTGAGGAAATGAGAGTATTTCGATTTCTTACAATAAATAAATTAATAAATCTAGGACCAACTCTCGTTTGAAAAAAACAAAAACATAATAGAGTGAACATGTGTCTTCGGCGGCGGCGCTGAAGAGGGAGTAGCTAGGGTAGACAGCGAGGAGGGCAGAGAGTGAACATGTGTTTCTCAATGTCTGTCCCTCTTCCTACTACCAATACCATCTTTCTCAAACTTCTTCCTCTTTCCATCCCCGAAATCATCGTAGTCCGACTCTCCCCTCACAAAATCCCCCAATTCTTCCCCATCATCCTCTTCCCCGATTCCAAAATCAGGAGTGCTCTCCTCAGCCGTCGTGTTCTTCTTGATGAGTCGCTTCCGAGGATTCGGCTTCACATCCGAATCGTTGTAAATTGGGGTCGGAGAGGAGCTTTGAGGGAAATCGAAGGGCCTTGTAGAGAGGATGGAGGTGGATGATTTGAGAGGGGTTTTGAGAGAGAGAGAGAGAGAGCCTTTTTTTTCTTTCTCTTCAAATAGGAATTTTCTCTCAAATTAGGGCACAAAATGGTGACGGGACTAGATCAACGCTGGAGATGGCATTTTTCTAATATATATATTTTTTTTTTGGTGAATTGGCCGCACAAAATTTCATTTTGGCGCCTTTTTTCACAGTATGAATTGTGCGTCGTCAAAAGATTAATTTTCTATTTATATTTATAAAAATTTTAAAATTTAAATAAAAATTTATTTGATAAAATTTTTAAGTTATAAATTAGTGGTTTCAGTTTCTTTATTTTGAGTTTTCCTTCTTATTTTAAATATGTGATTTAGCTTGTTAAAAATGGTTGGCTGAGCCACCTGATGTAGTCTCTTTATTTTAAATTTTGTTTCTTACTTTACATATGTGATTTAACTTATTAAAAATGGTTGGCTGAGCCAACTATCCTTAGATATTGTAAATAAATTATTTGTATGTTTTGGTAACTTATTTAATTATTTGTTAATTTTACGACATTTTTACCATCAAGCCTGTTTGGTAACTATTTTGTTTTCAGTTTTCAATTTATATTTACAAAAATTTAAAAAACTGTCATAAAAATTTGTTTGATAATTTTTTTGGTATATAAATGGTTGTCTCAGTTTGTAAATTTGAGGAAAAAACGTAAATTCAAAAAATGAGCTTACGTTGGTTTTTAAACAGAAATTTAAAAACTTTACTACCAAAAAAGATTTTTAATTATTTTTTTTTAAATTATTTTTTTTCCAATTAAATTTTTTTTAAAATTATTTTTTTTTCCAACTAATACTAACCGATGGGGCGATTTATAATGCTACTTTAAACCTTAAGGAGGGGATTGTAATTTCTAAAATGTGAGGGGTGTTAACGTAATTTACCCAATGAAGGCAAAATTGGTATTTAAAAAAATTAAATTGCTGGAGGGGGGAATCTGTAATTAAACTTTAAACCTCAGGGGGAGAGATGTAATTTCTAAAAGGTGAGAGGGAGAATTGTAATAAACATAAACCTCATGGGGTGTCAGTGTAATTTACCCCCTTTTTTTTTTATCATACAATTCACGACTTGCATTGTGCGTCATGAAAAGATAATACTTTTTACGGCACACAATGTGTGCATCATAAAAAGTGTAATACTTTTAACTGTGGACATTGTGTGCGTTGTGAAAAATATTTACTTTTCACAACTAGTGTATGTGCGTCGTGTATAATTAATGTATTAACGACATTCCATATGCATGTCATAGAAAGTTTTATTATTTACGGCGTGCATTGCAAGCCGTAAAAAAATCATTGTTTTTACCATTCACGGCCCACGCAATAAATACGCCGTGGTTGGAAAAGTATTTACGACGTGCAAAAAACGCAAGTCGTAAAAGTGAGAAACTACGACATGCATTTATTGTATGCCGTTGATGTGGTGCCGTAAAAAGTCAATTTTGTTGTAGTGCTTACAGCTTCAATCCAGTGTTGGAAAGCCAATTTTCGTGCTTTGGTGTCTCTGGACAAACCCTTACCAACCTACCCAACACAATTAACATGATAATCTTAAGGCACTTCGTTGAACACATAATAATATAATGCTACTTAATTATTAGATTAATTGGTATTTAAAAAAAATTATTACAGATTCATGAAATTTTTTAAAAAGAGTTTGGTTATTAATGATATAAAGGTCTACCATAGATGATTTTATAATTATTTTTAGAAATTACACTGAATTGGGGAAAAAATTTAGAAGAAGAGGAAGAAGCAGATGACCTTGGAAGCATTCAACCTGACTCGACTCCAGCGAGAAGCTGCAGTCTCTAGTTTGGAGAAATTGAACAATGTAATCGTTCTGTGATTCAATCGAGCATAATCGATCGCTTGCCACCTTCAAAAGCATATATAAACAAACATCTCTACTGTAATTGATTTGAGCTTATACATATATACATACATATTATAAAAAAAAAATCAAAACCCCCAACCAGAAATCGTTGAATCAAATGCTCTAATTCAAAACCCTAAACCAGAAATCATTGAATTGAAACCCTAATAGTTTAATCAAATGCCCTAATTTAAGAAGGGAAAGGTTTCAGAAAAGAAAAGAAACAAACTTTAAGTTTAGAACCTTACCAAAATTGCAGGTCTTTCCCAAGCCAATGAGTTTCGAAAGGTTGCAAGGGAAATGAAGAGCACCGCCTATAGCGAAGAGGGTGGGTGTCTATTGGAGAAGAGGATATGAATTCGGGGAAGAGGAGGAGACACAAAGGTTGTGCCGATGAGGTGTTTATCATTCTGAGAGAGAGAGAGAGACACACACACACACAGCGTAAATCACAAAAGAGAGAAGAAGAAAATAATAAGCTGTTGCACGTGTGTGATGGGTGGGAACTCTCTAATGTGTAAAATGATCTTAGCCGTTTATTTGTCGTTTGGAAAGATCTATGGACCATTCTAATTAATTATAAAGGATATATATTTTTATATAAAGGATTAATTATAAAGGATATATATTTTCTTTTGGTTAGAAGTAGTCGAAGAGTTAAATGCATTTTGAAATTTTTTTTTTTATAATTTGTGTTTTGGTGTTGGGGCCTTTTTTATATAAAAAAATAAAATTGGGAATTGTATATTTTATATAAAAATCAAATTGAAATATTTTATACAAACACACCTGTTTATATAATCACACTTATTTAAAAAGTGTGATTAAAAAGTAGTAATGTATATATAATCACACTTTAATTAGAAGGTGTGATTAAAAAATATATAAATAATCACACTTTAATTAGAATGTGTGATTAAAAAATTTATATATAATCACACTCATTTAAAAAGTATGATTAAAAAGTAGTAATGTATATATAATCACACTTTAATTAGAATGTGTGATTAAAATATATATAAATAATCACACTTTAATTAGAATGTGTGATTAAAAAATATATATATAATCACACTGATTTAAAAAGTGTGATTAAAAAGTAGTAGTATATATATAATCACACTTTAATTAGAAGGTGTGATTAAAAAATATATAAATAATCACACTTTAATTAGAATGTATGGTTAAAAAATATCTATATAATCACACTAGGGAGTGTGATTAAAAAGTAGTAATGTATATATAATCACACTTTAATTAGAAGGTGTGATTAAAAATATATATATATAATCACACTTAATTGAAAAGTGACATAAAAAATAAATATTATCACACTCAATCAAATTAAGTGTGATTAAAATATCAATCTAATTTTTTTTATCACACTTCTAATAAAAGTGAGATATTTTTTTTTTGTCAAAGTGTGATCTTTAACTATTTTTGTAGTAACACATTTGCTGGATTACAGGGAAAAAGAAAATAAAGGAAAATATCTGCAACACTTGATGAGTCTTCCACCATGCGTCCACCACCAAGTGCACCACCAGACACATGGAGCCTTGCATTTACAAAAACCTACAGGAGCATAGCACATCTCAATGACTAGTTTCTAGATACCGAACAGGAGGGGGGGAAATGTCAACTAATAGTGGGGTCTTTTTCTTTTCTTTTTTTGGTTGGGAGTTTAAAAGAAAAACTCGCCGCTGCATGTTGATATCTAGGAAATGATGAGACACCAGGAGCAATTGCCCATTCCCACCGACCATCTCTATGTTTTGCAAGTCATATGCACTGGCCAGTGGCTGAAAAATCATTAAGAGAGGATGTAACAAGTCAAACATGTATGACAATGGAAAAGGTGTATCTTGACCTTGATAGGGAGAACGAATCATATAGACAAAATTGTACAATAATATTCATAGCAGATACAGCAGTATTCAAGACAAACATACTAGCAGACAAACTTAGTAGCATCTTGACAATTGAAAGCTCTAGAAAGGGGAAAGTGAGTCACTGTGTTTGGTTGTGGTTTTTTGAATATGATTTTTTGAAAATTTTATACAACTTGTTTGGTTATTTTAAAAACTGAGTTATGTTTTCAAAAAAATAAATGAGATAGGTAGGCTTTAGTAGAATAGGTACATATAGGTAGGCTTTGAAAATGAGATAAGTAGGCTTTAGTAGAATAGGTACATATAGGTACATATATGTATGTATATATATATATATATATTTAAAAAATCTGAGAGAATGTTTTGATGTGATTTTTTTGTATTTTTTTAATTGTTTCAATCATTAATTTAGAGGGAAATTTGAAATTGTAATGATATATTTTTTTGAAAACCAAACAAGCATTTTTTTTCAAAAAATAGTTTTCAAATCATTTTTTCAAAAAACAGCAACCAAGCATGCTGAGTAGTATCTTGAATAATTGAAGGTTCTTCTTAGGTGGAGCTCATAGGGTAGGTGTACATTTCTATTTTGTGTGGTTGAGATGTAACTTGTGTGTTTTGAATTCATTATTTCTATTTTTATTATGATGATGTCTAATTCATGCATATATATATAAAAATAGAACCTTCAATTATTTATATGCATGAATCAGACATCATCATAATAAAAATAGAAATACTGAATTCAAAATACACAAGTTACATCTCAACCACACAAAATAGAAATGATGCCATGTACACCTACCCTATGAGCTCCACCTAAGAAGAACCTTCAATTATTCAAGATACTACTCACTTTCCCCTTTCTAGAGCCTTCAATTATCAAGATGCTACTCATTATTATTATTATTTTTGCTTATTCACATGAATCGATACAAAAAGAAATAAATCGAACTAAATATCAGTTTGAGACCAAATTGAACTATAGTAGTAAATTTTACTTGGCAGAAGAAATTGATCCAAATCAAAATTCGGCCTATTGAGTATGGAGAAAGGACAAAGAAGAGTGTGTAAAGCCCTCATGAATGTATCAACTAAGATAAGATACAAGCCAATAAGACTCCGGTTAAAAAACTGATGAACAAATTAAAAATTTTTAAAAGATTCATGTATTTCCTAAGAATACTAATATTCAGTACTCTATGCATTTAGCTATATGAATCGAATTCAAATTCAAAAACGAGAGAGAAAGATATCAGTAGCAAGTAATTCATCGTTTAATTCAAGATCTAAATTACATCTGAGCTTCATCAAACTAAATTGAAATTAAGAGAGCTTGAAGTCAAAATTAAACAAAGCAATATAGAAATCAACTACGACTAAAACATGTAACAAAGAAGAATTCAAAGCAGAACAACAAGATTATAAACTAGAAAAATCATTCAAAGATTAATCAAATTATGCTCTGTTTGGTTGCTAAGAAAATGTAACAATGACACAGGAAAACAAATATATATTTTACCCCAATTGAGGTGAGCTTCAGTTTTCTAGCCAAACAAACATAAAAGCAGAATACTAAAAGTTTGAAATTATACAAACAAGAGGTTAAAAAACTAAAAGAAATTTAGCAAACAATCTAGAGAAATGTTCAAATCAAGTTTTAAAGCCAAAGCAAATCAAGATTTAATAATTTAAAAAGATAAAAAAATAAAATGAATCTTCGAATCAAAAAGATGTTTCGAAATCAGAATCAACACTGCATTGATAAAAATAAAGATATAGGGATTACAGGGATAGAGAGTTGGATTCGTACATAGAAATTAGGCTTACCGATTATGAATCGATCCAAATCTTCATCAACAATAGATCGAAATCTTCAAGTCTTCATCAACAATCGATCAAAATCTTTATATCTACATCGAAGTGAGAGTCAAGTGAGAGAGAGTGAAGAGTGGAGAGTGGATAGTGAGATTTGAGCGAGAGATAGTGGAGAGTCGAGTGAGAGATGAGAGAATTTGAGAGATTAACAGAGAGAGAGAGAGTTGGGTAACAAGAGTGAAAGGGGATAGGGCAAGTTTTACATGATTTGGGGTTTTTTTTTGTTTTCAGTTAAAAACACGATTTTGGGGGTTAAGTAAAACGGGATTATGACGTAAAAAGTGATTTTTTGCAGTGGTAAAATAATCAATCGCAAAAAATCGTATTTCGAGTAGTGTAGCTATAGAAGCAGCAAACCCCTGATATTGAACCTTCAATCTTTAACTACTCAAGAGGTTCATCCAATAACAATGAAAAAAATGATTTCCCACAAGAAGGCAATAGGCCCCTGCTTTTCATCAGGTTAATACAATCTAAAGGCAACGCAAAGCTGATGTGAAATTTCTACTCATTTAAAGAAGAAATGTTGCGAGAATAAGAGGAAATAGGACTCAAGTTTAAGAAAAAAATCCTCTCTTAAACAATCTGTTCAAAAGCCAGAACTTTTTTATTATTATTATATTATAAAAAAATTATTTCAAATTTTTTTTTTGGGCTCAATAATAAAAGAAGAATTTTATCAAAAAGGAGAAAAGAGAAGTACAAAGAAGGACAAGAGGTCCTCAAAAGCAAAAACCAAAAAATCTACGATGGAAAAAACTAGAAGACCTCAAAAATTTTTTATTTCAATTTACTATCAAATTAAGGAAAAACCAGTGGTTTACAAATCAATTGTCACTAACTATTTAAGAAACATATATTGAGATTTTCATCATCATTTTAAGAAATAGAAAGTTTCCATATTGTTGAAAATTCCAAAGATTCTCTAATTAATGGACAAAATTTGAAAGGTATTGCCATATTGATAATTAAAATTAAAAAGGAAAAAAAAGTTAATGAGAACCAATAATATGACACATAGATTTTTACATTATAAAAATCCAAAAATTTGAGAAAAATAGATTGAAGTATTCATCAATAAAGACCTTACAACGTCTTTGCTTATATTATATAATGATTCCGAATTGTCTAGTAGTTCTAGTTTTAAGATGTAAATTGTAGCAACTCTTTATCATAAAATGTATGCTCTTAGTTGTAATCATCTAATCATTTTTATTTTATTTTTTTGGGAAAATATTTATCAAATAATTAGAGTTTATACTCCTACTCTTTTTGGAATTGGAAACAAAAACTAATTTCCCATTTGTCTATGTTGAAATTTGCACCAATTAACCACAACATCAACAATAATCAACACATTAACTGTATTTTAACTGAGCACATTTGTCAATAAACATGGCATTCAAACTACAAAAGCTAACAAATTGAAATCAATTCCCAAACAGTAAACAAAAAACTAACAAAGAGTAGTTCAATACAAATCTACACAAGATCAAAACCAGAACAAACGTGTAAACAAATAGATTAAAACTTACCTTCAATGAGAAAGTTAGGGTTTCTTTTCTCAAAGGAGTTGATTTTTCCACTGCTGCCGATCAATGATTGGATCAATCGAGAACCTGAAATTAAAATAAGGATGATTATTCAATCAATAAATAGAGATACATATATAAATTCATATATATACTTGTACAAAGAGATATGTAAGAGAAGAAAAATTATCTAAAAAAGGTCAGATAATGTGTATGCAGATATAGAGAGATTGAGATTGTACGAGGGAGAGACAGAGATCAAGAGAGAGATTGAAAGATCGAGATTGTACGAGAGAGTCAGAGATCGAGGGAGAGATTGAAAGATCGAGAGAGACAGAGATTCATACCGGTGTTCTTCAGACGACGAGAGATTTAAGGAAAAAATATTATGTGTTTCCGGAATAATGTTCTATTTTACTTATTAGTTGACACATTTTATGTTGTTTCTTAAAATATTAATACAAAAGTGATTTGTCATATTATTTAGATGAGTACTGCTATTTAGATTAAAAAATTAGACCCACCTTTTAAACTCAATGATGTGGTATTCTATTAAAATATCTAAGTCAATTCTCTTTTTCATTTATTCTCTACTCATTAATCAATCATCTTATTAACACATTACTCGGTCTAGAAATAGGTCTATAAAGTGGGTTTGTATATCATTTTTCTAAGATTAATAGCTATCGATTTGCATCACTTAAAGTTGAGTAAAACAGCCAATGGGAATTGGTTAAGTTGGTAAGGATCAGACTCTTCGTCTTTAAGACTTAGGTTCAATTCCCACTACTACCAGTAGTCCTCCTTGGTGGCTTGCCCTAACCCTGGACTGAGATAGCCTTCCCTTACCTAAACTTTTTTATACCAAAAAAAAAAATTTGAGTAAAACAGTTATATCACGTCAGTTTGTTGAGTGAAACAGTTACATCATTAATTGTGTCTGAAAATTTTGGTATGATTAGAATTTTAATTAAAATTTCCGTATATCATTTTTCATTTATTTCACCAATATCAAATTAGCATTCCGCAAAAAACTTGGAATTAACTATTTTGATGAAAAACAAAGGTACAAGAGGCAAACTAGGAGCTCTACAACAAACAGAAAGCAGCCGAAGCAATTCTGTACGAGAAAGAGAAAGAAGCCCAGGCCCAAAAAGCCACGGCTGAGGCTGCTTTCTATGCCCTCCAACAACTCGCTGATGGAGAATTATATGCTAAACAAAAAGAAATTGCAGGGCTTATAGCGCTCGGACAAGCCCAAGGGGTTTATATATGCACGCTTTTGGACGCGTTGGAAGGGAATTACAATGCTCTTAGAGATTACTTAATGATCAATGGTGGGATGTTTCAGGAGATTGCCAAGATTAATGGCGAGGCGATTCGTGGGCTGCAACATAAAATTAGTATTTGGACTAATGGTGATGGCGGTGAGGGTGGTGATGGTGGTGCTATGAAGGAGGTTGTTGTTGTTTATAGGATGTTGCCACCATTGTTTAAGAATGTTCATGAGCAAACTGGAATGTTGCCACCAGCATGAGTGGGTGCCTTGCCTGACTCCAATAATGTGAACTAATGAGTCATGCAAAAGATGGAGATTCTTTGTAGTTGGTAAATTGGGCCTCCATGGGTTGTCATATGATCTGAACCATTCAACTTTTAAGAACTTTTGGGTTGATAATTTATGTAAAAGAATTAGATTGATCGAATAATCGTAATCACGTGATGATACCACATTTGTCCTCAAAACAATGGACAGTTTGTTTTCAAAATTATACTTGCTATGCATTTTTTTTAAAATAAATATGAACCAATCATGTGATTATAATTATTTGATCAACCTGATTTGGCATGGATAATCTGTTAGAGAGCCTTAGAAGATAAACGATTTAGATAATGAGGTGATCCTGTGGTGAGCTCATAGAGGCCCCACTCTAGTTGTGATTTCCAACCGAAAAGAATCTTCGTACTTACGGACTTGGCGTTGTGACGTGGATTGGGAGGTTAAAAGATTAAAAATATTTATTTTATGATAAATATCATTTTTTACGTATAAATATCAAATTTTATATAAAAATTTCATACAATTTGATTTGACATATTATGGTCATATTAATGAAAGACACCACATTTTGGGCTTAGGATGTCAATTTTTTTATTTTTTATTTTTTATTTTTTTGAATCTGGGATGTCAAATTTGAATCTAAATTTTTGTATTTACTCTACATTTTCTTAAAGAAGTTGAAATATGTAATCGTATGGACATCATTCTATGTGTTCTTTATTTGTGTTTAGTTATGTTTCTTTTGATCAAAAGACATATATGTACATTTGTTCGTTTCAAATAAATACAGTGTATGATAAAAATATTAATAAATTTGATATTATTCACTTTGTTTGTAGTGATGCACCTTTTAAAAAGATGTACATTATAAAAAAATTATGATTTTTTATCATAAAAATTATGATTATCTATAATGTATGTTATGATATTTTGTGATAAAATTATGAATAATGAATTTATGATGTGCACTCTAAAGTTAGGGATGATAATGTTATGTTTCTTTGTGATTTTTGTTATGATACTTTGTAATTTTTATTATGACATTTTATAGTGAAAAATAAGTAAAAAGTATATAAGGTGTAATTTCTTGGAAGTTTGTTTGAAGTTTGATAGAGAACTTGTAAAGAGAGAGAAATTGTTTGACTTGACAAAATATAAACATACACAGAAATATACATATTCCACTCCAAATACTTTTATGTATCTTTAGGAGATGATGATAGCATTGAAGCCTATTGAGAGTTGTGCAAGCTAACACAAGTAAACAAATTGTTCTTTAATGCAATTCTAAATTTCATGATTGATATTAGAGATGCTCAGAGTCGCACCAACAACTCATGAATCAAGTTTTTTAAATTTGACGAGTGTACTTAAGTTAATGTGTTAAAAAATGGCAAATAATTTGTTTAGTCAAAAAAAGGGAAGAACTCCCTTCATTTGAAACAGGCTATCAACCAAAAATCACTCAATGGGGAAATATTCAGTTTCCGAATAAATGGAAACCCAAAAAAAAAGAAGTCCAGCATTTAGAAGTATTCTCGAACTATGAAGTTATTAGACGAAAATCTCATTCTAAAATTTGAAGGAAGAAAATGCTTCAGTGTATCATTTAGTGTAAGAATTCCTATAGGAGAGAAATGTAATGAACAAAGATTCACATAAAAATATGAAGACTATGAAAGTATAGGACACTATGATCTTTAGAATAAGAATTTAAAACTACTAGAGATGTAAAAAGACTTGAATATTTAATCCAAATGATTCAAACTTTGAATCAAGAAGAAAATATAATAGTTAGCAATTGTCGCGAGAAACAGAGATCCATTCGATGGAGTTGCCAGCTAATTTTTTCTCAAAGGACCACTAGGAAACCCAATATAATCCTAAAACAGAAGAAGAAAAAAAACAAAAACAAAAACTTGACTTCATAGATAAAACACAAGATACAACCAAAGAAACTACAATCGCAGTCCAAGGTACAAATTAGGAAGGTGTGAGGCACCCATCTTGCCCAGCTGATAAGTTATCCTTTAGTCAATTTCATTTGGAATTTGTTAGACTTTAATATGCAAGATGACTTCACTCAATTTCATTGGTTCAATTAGTTAAATTAGTGTTTCGCAAAAAATAAAATAAAATAAAAATAGAAACTAACAACTATAATGATGCCAATCAAACACTAAACTATCATGAAAATTAACAAGCATGCAATCATGGCAAAAAACAAGACAAAACATGATTAATGCATGACAATCCTAAACTAAACATGAGACAATGACATGATCAAGACAAACCAGCAACTATGACAACGAAACAGAAACATCAAACGATCTCTCAGAAAATTATGAAAATTTTATGAGACACAAATATATGTGATTAACTTACAACTCCATAATTAAGGGGTCCTCAACTTTCACTTTATGTTAGAATTGAATCTAAACATTCTCTCATTGTTCTTGATGAAGTAGGAGAAAAATTAACAAAAAAACGATCTTTCGAGTTTGAAGCTATGTGGTCCAAAGATCCAAAGAGTCATTGGGAGTTGTAGAAAGCATGAAACTCCAAAACAAAAAGGGGTCTCCAACTTTCACACTGGGTTAGACATAGGGGTGAAATTGGTACAGTTTACTGATAATATAAATCAATTGTGACCGATCAGGGGAGAAAACCAAATCGACTAAAATCTAAGCAGTCAGTAAGTGTATTCAATTTGCCATTGTTTAACAAAATCAGAGCAAACAATATATAGAAACAAAAACTGGAACACAAAATAAAACCGTAACTCCTTTACATGACACTCCTTTACTTGGAAAAATCAAAGAGTAAGGGTACCAATATTCAGGAATGGTTGGATAGGGTCTAGCTAATGCAAAATCTTGGTTTTACATTTTCCCAAATGCTCTTATTTGTCATTTACCAACTAGTGAATCTAATAATTATCACATTGTTCGAGATAAAGTACAAGAAAAATTAGCCTTAAAACGACCTCTTAAGTTTGAAGCTATGTGAATTATAGATCTAGAGACCCACTGGGTGTTGCAAGAAGCATGCAACTTAAGAATTTAGGGTTCCCAACTTTTACGTTGTGTTATGAGTAGGGGAGAAATCAATGTAGTTTGGCGGAGGTCTAGGTGATTTCTCCACCACATAGAAGCTTTTAAGTAACAAAATAAAAATAAAAATAAAAATAAAAATAAAAATAAAAAAAGAAACAAAAAGAAAAGAAAAGAAAAATTGCAACACAAAATAAAACCATAATAATTACTTTACAAGTAACTCCTCTACTTAGATAAATTGTTGAGCACAGTACACCAATAATCAGGAAAGGTTAGAAAGGTTAGATAGGGTCCTGGCTAATGCATATTGCATATCCATTCTCCCAAACTCTCTTATTCTGTCATTTACCAAATATTGAATCTGATCATTGCCTCACTATCCTAAACAATGTAGGACATTCTAAGTTTAAACCAATGTGGGCCAAAGATTGAGAGAGCCCATTGGGTATTGTAGGAAGGATGCAAGTCGAGAATATAGGGGTCCACTTTCACGCTGTGTTAGAAGTAGGGGTGAAAATAAGAGCAGTTTGGTCGAGATCTAGGGTGGGGTTTCCCCACCAAACCAAAGATTTTGATTTGACATTTACATAAATTTATCCTAGTCAGGGAAGAGAACTAAACCGAAGTATTCAATTTGACATTCATATAAATTGATCCTGACTAGTCAAGGGAGACAACCAAGCCGACCATGCGAAATTTTGAAACGGTTTGACAAGTTGGTGTATTCAGTTTGCCATTATTAAACAAAATTAGTGCAACCATATACAGAACATAATAAGCTAGCATTGAAAAATATCCAAAATCTGGAAAAAAAAAAAAAAAAAAAGCTAAACCTAAGTGTTTGATTTCACATTTACATAAATCGATCCTGACCAATCAAGAGAGATGAAGTGAGACATCCAAGCCAACCGTGTAGAGTTTTGAAACAGTTCAGTTGGAGCATAAAATAAAAGCAAACTGATGCTTTCGATTTGACGTTCACATAAATCGATCTTGACAAATCAAGGAAGACAACCAAGCCGACCATGCAAAAGATTGAAACAGTTCGTCTAGTCAGTGTATTTAGTTTGTCATTATTAAACAAATTAGTGCAACCACACGCATAACATAATAACCTAGCATTAAAAAATATCCATGATCCCAAAAAATAAAAATTTGTAGAATTTTTAAAAGCAAACCAAAGCTTTTGAGTTGACATTCACGTAAATCAATATTGACTGGTCAAGGGAGACTACCGAGCTGATCATGCAAAATTTTGAAACAGTTCAGCTAGTCGATTTATTCGGTTTGCCATTATTAAACAAAATTAGTGCAAGCATATACAGAAACATAATACGTTAGGGTTGAAAAATATCCAAAATCTAAAATAAAAAAAAGAAAAAGAAAATTGGTACACAATAAAGCTAAACCGAAGTTTTCAATATGACATTTAGATAAATCGATTCTAACCAATCAAGGGAGATCAAGGCAAACAATCAAGCCGACTGCGCATAATTTTGAAACGGTTCGGTTAGTTGGTGTATTCGTTTTGCCATTATATATTAAACAAATTAGGAGAATCCATATACAAAACATAATAAGCCAAAGTAGAAAAAAATATATACATAAATTCGAACGTAAAACAAAAGCATATTGAAGCTTTCGATTTGACATTCACAAAAATCAATCTTGACTAGTCAAGGGCGACAAACAAGCTGATCGTATAGAATTTTGAAACGATTTGGTTGGTTGGTTGGTGTATTTGGTTTGCCATTATATTAAACAAAATTAGTGAAAGCCATATACAAAACATAATACGGTAGCGTTGAAAAAAATAAAAATTGGAATGTAAATTTTAAAAAAAAACGAAGCTTCCAAGTTGACATTCATGTAAATCGATTTTGACATGGTCAAGGGAGACAACTAAATCGACCGTGAAGA